TGGGTGCTTGAAATCAAACCAGGGTTTTCTGGAAAAGCAGCCAGTGCTGTTAACCCTGGAGCTATCTCTCTAGTTCTATGATTGCAAATTTAAAACCAGCATAGACTACATAGCAAGAGTCTGTCTTAAATATTTACATATATACATATGTATATACTTATGTATATATGTATATACTTATGTATACATATATATGTATATACACAAGTATATATAATGTGTATTTTGTGTGTTTATATATACATATTATATATATGCATATACACATAAAAATCACATTAAGTATATATGCATATATATATAAAGTTGACCATCTAGACTAATGCTTCCATGTATCAGAATTTTCTAGAAAAACTCATAAAACTTAGGCTTTCTAAACCACCCAATAAGAATCTCCAAGAGTATCTTTGTATTTTGCTTTGCTTTTCCCTAGGGGGATTGTTTCGTGTGTGTAAATAATAATAAATAATATCTGTTTTGTTTTGTTGAGGAGGAGTTTCAATTTCTAGCCCAAGCTAGCCTGAGATTCACTATGTAGCCCAGGCTGATCTTGAACTAGAAATGATCCTCCTGCCTCAGCTTCCTAAATCCCTAATAGGATTATGGGCATGTGCCACCATGCCCATTTCTCGTGCTGGTTCTTTTTTGAGGGAGTTCCTTGCTAATTTTCTATGAAATCTATGTCATTCTCTATAAAGTGAATCTTTGAGGTACATGTCATTCTGCTTTATGTGTGTTTTTTAAAAGAAAGTGTGACTTCTTTTGAGTCCCGGTGAATCAGAGAATAGACAAAGCTGGTGAGTAGACCTTCCAGCTGGAGGGTTGGGTTCATTGTCTTATCTGCCTGACGTGTGTGACTTGCTATGTGGTGACTGTCACTCTGCGTCTTGGAAAAGTTAAGTCATGTCTGATTGCGCCCCAGCCTTGGCTGCAAAAGAACTCACAGTGAAAAAGGAAGGTACATGAGGTTTTATCCAGGAAGCGTATGGTTACTGGAACTTATCTGCCATCTTGCACAATTATCCTCACAGATGCTGGTATTTCCTGAGCTTACACTTTTCCACAATGACAGTTAAAGGGCATATCGTACCCCCACACCCACCCCTGCTTCCAGTGGGTATGCTAAACAGCTAAACAGTTGACTCGATGCTCCTCCTGCTCCCTTTTCTTCTCCTCTTCCTCTCCCCTCTTCCTCGCCTTACCTCCGCAGTGCGGGCCTCACCTGTGCCTGCTGAGCAAGCACTCTACCTCAGTGCTACTTCGCCAGCCCTAGTTTTTTTTGCTTTTTGTTTTTTGTTTTTTCTAAAACAATAAAAAAAGGCAGTTGCCCAAAATCAGGATGTGCTGTGAAAGGGTAAGTTATTTCAAAAAACTTGCTTCCTTCCTTCCTCCTGCTCCTCCTCTTCACTCTCCTTCTCTTCCTTTTTTTTTCCTTTCAGTACTAAGGATCGATGCAGGGCTTTGTATATATATGTTAAGTGCATGGTCTATCCCTTAGCTGCACCCCCAGGCCAGCTTCATAAAACTTTTATATCTATATATTCAAGTTGAATATCATATTATGTGATTTTCTTTGTTCCCATATTATTTTTTATGTCGTCTTAAACTTCAGAATATTGTTTTTTTAAAAAAATAAGTGATTCTCCAGTTTGTATCAAAGGCAAACAATACATTTTCTATTAAAACAAAAATTGAGAAAATCTTTAGAGAGTATCAGAGTTGAGTGATCTTATGTGTACTGCCAGAGAGAAAGACATCTTTTTATTTATTATTTTTTAGATTTATTCTGTTTTATTTGTGTGCCCATGTCTGTGTAGTGTATGCTACGTATGGAGAGGTGCCCTTGGAGGACAGCTGGCGTGACAGGCAGTTGTGACCCACATGGCAGCTGGGAACCAAACAGGGTTTGTCTTGAAGGAGCAGCAAGCTCTGTTAAGCACTGAGCCATCTCTCCAGCCCCTGGAAGAGATACCTTGAGTGGTTTCCTGAAGGTGTAGAAAGATGGCAGCCCCTGGCCACGAACAGGCTTTCAAAACCTGCCGGTGGTCTGAGGCACTGCAGAGACACCACCACTCTTAGCTTGTCAGAAACCCAGAGCACACGAGGACGGAGAGGATCCATCCCATCGACACAGACAGCCCGCGGAGGGACGGCCCGCGGAGGGACGGCCCGCAGAGTGTCCTCCTCTGTGGTCTGACTGCTTCTCTCTTTCAGCACTCTGACTCCAGAACTCATCCCTCTCCTTTTTGCTCTGCGTTAGTCAGACAAGTACCTTCGAGAGTTACTGACGGGAGGAGTTACTACACAGCGCTCATGGCCTCAGAGCGTTGAACTCATTGTAGTGGGAGGGTATGGTGGAGCAGAACAGTTTGGGTCATGCTAGCTCTGAAGCCAAGAGAATGCAGGAAGGAGACAGGGCAAGGTCTAACCCAGGAAGGGCACAGGGCAAGGTCTAACCCAGGAATGGCACAGGGCAAGGTCTAACCCAGGAAGGGCACAGGGCAAGG